CTCCAAGGTGGACTTCTATTCATGCATGATTACATATTGAGATAGCAGGTTTGCTTCCCGCAAGAAAAAAAAAAGAGATAACGTGTTTGCGTATTTATTGAGAAAAAGTGAACTAGTGTAGATCATCTGTTTAGTTGTAGTTCTGACAGGTGACTTGTACAATTAGTCGAGGTAATCCATTAGCTATCGTGTAGCCCATGCTAATTAACAGGGGAAAGACTATTCATCGTGGACCACCATGCATGCATGAGGGCAACCGAGTGACGTACGTTGTCGAGCCCACGAAGTTCAAACTACTGAAACGTGCTAGCTGCACGCTACGTACGTACGTGGACGTTCCTGCACGCCTATATACCACTCTTACACGCATTCCACACGTGGGATCGTGTGTGCCCACAGAAATCTAACGCCGCAGGCTTCATGCACGTACGTTTCGCCACGAATGGCACGCCACGCCCTGCAGGTTAGGCTGAGCACTCCTCCAAAGGCCAAATTAAGCCCGAGCACCCGCATCCAGATTCGAGCATGGCATGAAAGAAGAAGTGGCGCAGCGTACGTGCATGGTGCATTCTTTCTCCCGTTCTAACGAGGCCGCAATTAATCCACGTACGAGGAAAGACTGTACATTGCGACTCATGTATTCTCGGTGTAGAAATTGATAAGTTTGGGGAAGAGAAGCCGAAATGCTCTCTTCTCTCTTATGTAGACGGTAATCCACGTCTGAGCCCATACTTAGATGCTTTCGACGAACAGTAAGTTCAAGAAAAATAGGGGAAAAACCCCAGCAAAACACTCTTAAATTTTGTTGGCATCCAAGACGCTTGTGTTTTCTAGTAGCGTCCAGAGTTTCATGCTCAAATGACATTCGAGAAATAAATGGGCTTAAATAGGAGTGCGACGTTTCTCCTCCCGAGCTCATCTGCACCCGCCCCGCCGAAAAAAAATCAAAATAAATACTAATAAAATTCAAAAAAATCCATTTTTTTTGTGTGGTAGATTAGTTTATGCGTGAGGCTGCTTCAAGTTTCAACTTATTTGAATATCTGAGAAACTCTCAGCAAAAAGACAAATTCATTTTCTGTAAAATAGTTTATTGTTCACACAATGTTCTTACCTGATTTGTTATTTTTTTTTGCTGAGAACTTCTCAGATGTCCAAATAAGTTGAAATTTTGAGCGAACCTCATGCATAAAATTGTCTATCACACAAAAATTTGATTTTTTAAAAATATTTTTAGTATTTGTTTTATTTTTTTCTGACCGGGTGCAGATGAGCCTGGGCACCGAATTGGGTTTTCGCTTAAATAGTGCAGTTTTTGAAAGTTTCTTTGAAAGCCATTTTTTTGCCACGAACTCCTCAAATGTCCTAACACCTTAAAATTTTGCAATCACCTTGCGCATTCAAGCATCTTGGATTCCAAAAAATAAAATCAAATTATTTTTCAATTGTTTGCTATTCATCTCGGAATTTACCATCCACGCACTGGTGTACATGAGCTAGGGCTTAGAATAGCCGCTCTCGTTTGTAGATTCCTTTTCTCATTGCTCATATTATGAGTTATCTACCCTCCATGCATCATTGCCGTCATATGGCCCCAACGTCTCAATTAACTAAAATAACATGTTGCCCCTAGAAGATTAGTGGACTAAATGTTAAATCAATGCCATAAAGATTTCAAAACACACAATATTCATAGTAAGAATTCAATTTACTTTTCATGAATCTCTCTGTGTGTGTGCGCATGCTTGCGTGTGCGTGCGTGTGCGTGTGTGCATGCATGCGTGTGTGTCCTAGGTGCTCTCTCTTCTAGCACCGATCTGTCTTGACTTCTCTCTACTTCATGGCTTTCGCTGTCGCCGGTGAGTAGGAGGGGTTGCCAGACCTCATATTGGGATAACATTGATATAGGATTTTTAGGCTCTATACCAGCTAGGGTTCTAGCAACTTGTCCTGCGGCTTTGGCAACAACAGCGGGAGAGGTGAATAAGTGTGCTCTGGATCAATAACAGTCGCGGCGTTTCCCCTTTGAGTGAAGGTGGTATGGCGGTGGTAGCCTTTTGTTGTGGATTCACTAGT